TTTTGGTCCTTTGTCTTGTAGGAATAGGATGACATGTGGGACTGCACAACAATTTTATCCCTGGTGTTTTTGAAGTTCAAACATATCAAACATTCAGATCTCTCTGAATTAGTACGTATTAACGCATTCTTGCTGCACATTAAGTCTTGTTAATGGCTGATAACTCATTGTGGGAAAGTTACATAAGCCGCTGATGATGGCTGGCCCGTTGGTTGTAAATATGAGTTTGAGAATTCTGTTTTTAATTTTGCGTGTGTGCAAAACAACAGAAAAAAAATCCAACATAGGACACTCACAGCTTACGACATGATGCATCAGCACTCATGAGGCTGACGAGCAGACGAGCAGGCCCTCTCATCCTGTCTGATGTCACTTGTCTGATTTATGTTCAGACTGATTTCAAACTGTGCTGATTACCATTTTTGCTCTGATATTTTTACCTCTGCCACTCTTTTTTCCAGCTGGGTGGGTTTTGAGCACCATGATTTCCAAGGCCAGCAGTTCATCCTGGAGAGGGGCGAGTACCCCAACTGGGAAGCCTACAGCGGCTCTCTGTCCTACCACACCGAACGCTTCATGTCATTCCGCCCCATCTACTGTGCTGTGAGTAGCAGCAGAGGGAGGAAAGGGTTGGGGGATACAAAAATGAAAGGGTACAAGATAAGCGGGAGTGGGAGAGATGATGATAGTGAGTGACAGAAGGTGCAGTGAGCCACACAGCGGGTGACTGAGACAGCTCAAAAATAGAAATCAGACAGCTCACAGCTAAATCTGTGCTCCCTCTGCGCTAACATTAGTCTGTTTCTTTTTCTCTATTTCCAAAGTCTCACCACAGCAGCCGTATGATGATCTTTGAGAGGGAAAACTTCATGGGGCGTTGCACCGAGCTGTGTGACGACTACCCCTCCCTGGAGGCCATGGGCTGGTTCATGCCCGAGGTGGGCTCCATGCATGTGCAGTGTGGCGCGTAAGTTAGACACGTTCCTCCTTAATTCTTCAAGTTTAAGTAGCCAACATGAGTGGCTTCAAAGATGCTTGCTCTCCAAGTGCTTGCACATTGGGGATCATTGGGCATCTCTTCATAATGTTTCCATTACAATATAAAATACTTTGGGGAGTAAATAAAACTGATTTGAAAGCAGCTGCATAGATAGAGGAGAACAAAATCCATTAAGAACTGAGACTAAAGACACACCCTGATTTACATGCTCAAGTCACTTTCACACTCCTGAAGCGTCTAGAGTCGTTCTTTCTTACATGACTTTTCTTGTGTGGTATTTTCTCTCAACTCGAAAGGCTCAATTTGTTTTGATGAGGAAGTTTTGAGGTATGCAGGAGGTAGGTCACATGATCCACCATGTCACCAGATTATCTGCTAAACTCTCAAATGGGCCTGACTGTACATTATATCTTTAATTTGTGCCTCCTCGTCTCGTCTCCACCTTCTGACTGTGACCTAGAAATGATCTGAGATGTCAGTACTGAAAATTGTGTCAGTTACTAAAATGCACCGGAGAGGAGAGAGAGGAGGCTGCAGGTCTTACAAAGACCAAGTGTTTTTACCTCTGATTTTTTTTAAAAAGAATATTTTGTTTTAATAGGTTGTTTCAGTGATTTAAGGTGGTCAGCTATGTGACCAAAGCTTCTGTCCTTCAACTTTTCTGTGTAATTTAAAAAACGAAGTTTTCTTTCGATAGAGTAGATCACAGTTACATCTGAGATCATGAACTACAGCACTATTACAATTGTAGCTAATAAATTCATGATCGTGTTGTGTCACATCATGTTGAATTGACATTACTTTAAAATAAGCCCCAATTGCAAATATGTCTTAAATGCATGTGTGAAAAAGGGCTTCACTGTCAACATTCCGAGCAAGACTTTATTCCCTTCCAGGAGACATATTTTTATTTTAAAATACACGCTTAGTGCTCTACATTTCACACATGAGCTTCAACAAAAGGTTGAGAGAATAAAACTGAGGCTCTGTTCCAAGTTATCTTTTTGAAACGTGGATCGCAGAGCAGGAGATGCTTTGCGTCAGCAGTGCTGTCAGTGATGTTTAGGTGAAGATGCTCGCCGATGCACACTCTGTGCAGTGTATTAGGGAGTTAACAGTGCAACAACTCAGAAGAGAGGAGACTGTAGAGTAAATATATAATCCAAGCTTAGATCGTACAGTAGCCGGAAGTCAGTCAACAAAGCAACAAACGGGCAAAAACAAAGAAGAAAAAGTGAGAAATACTAGCTGCAGAACGCTGCAAAGTCTGAGTGCGCAGAAGTAAGTAATTAGCTGATGAGAAGCAGGTTCGACTAGGTAAACACAGATGATGCTAATGTGGGCGGGGCAGATCATTACAAATGTGGAAGAACTAACAAAACGGGGGAAGTAAAACTTTCTGAACACAAAAATATCCCTAACCGCGACGGGCAGGTGATACACTCTCTAGCATCTGGTCTGATTGTGTCAAACATTTGCGCTGTCACGTGTATGTATGGCATGTGACGTATAGAAAAGTTCAGAGAGCTACTTTCATCTTTATTTTGTGTTTTTTAGCAGCTTTAAAAGGATGACACAGTTATTTTTAACACAGTTAACAGAGACGGTCGTGTGAATCAGGCAACTGCTTTGGCCAACTGGGAAATATCTCAGCCTGTAGCGTGACATTCAGTCTTTTCTAGATGTCCATGTTTCCCCTGGGGTGAAGTGCAATATCTTTTTATTATCCTCTTCAGCCTGGCCTCTGCTCTTTTCTTTATGACTGAATGTCTGCAAAATAAAAAAAAACATTTTAATGAGCATGCTAAAATATGAAGGGTCTACACGGTCTGCTTATCAGGGTAGCGGCTCGTGTGCCGATGTGACAACCTCTCACGTTTCTGGTGTGTCCTGTCATATCAACTGCCGGACTTTGGTGTTATTTATTATGAGTGTCACAGCCTCAAAGAGCAGCTAACATGACATATTTTTGTTTACACATTTCCACTGAATTCGTCATGACACATTTGTTATTTACGACGATTTTTCACCAAAACAAGCCCTCAAATAAAATTGGCATACGGTTATGTGCCTGTCACAGATTTGTTGACTAATCACTAAAATCATATAGTTGTGCAGTAATATCAAAGATATGTTTGCATTCATTTAGTCATCCACATAGTGACTGTTCTTAATGAATCTCCTCCTCCTGCCTCTGCGTTTCCACAGCTTTGTGTGCTATGAGTACCCCGGCTACAGAGGCCAGCAGTACATCATGGAGTGTGAGAGGCACAGCGGAGATTACCAGCACTGGAGGAACTGGGGCTCTCACTGTCAGACTCCAAAGATCCAGTCCATCAGACGCATCAGGCACTGAGAGGCGGCAGATCAGGACAGCAGCAGCAGAACAACCTGGGCTCTGGCTAACACCTGTGTGTTCAAATTTAGGGGCCCAAATCATTAACCTACAGTTCTGTGACACAAACCATTAGTGATGTAGCAGCTACCTCTTTATTCCAGCATGTGTATTTGTTGCTCTCAAAAATGAAGTGTGTTGTTTTCCATCCATCCGTTTACACAATACAGGCTCACGGGACGGTTGGAGCCTATCCCAGCTTACATGCGACAAGAGGCTGGGTACACAGAAAGACAAACATTCAGCTAACTTCACAAATATGTCTTTGGATCACGGTACAAACCAGAGAACCTGAAGAAAACCTCATAGGTACAGGGAAAACATGCACACTCCATGCAGAAGGGACCCAGCCGGGCGGTGGATTCAACCTCTGGACTACCTGCTCCACTGCTACCACTATGCCAGCTACGGTTTTCTTTTGGTACATGTAAAATAAAGATCAGAGTGAGAATGTGTGATGTTATTCCTGTGTTGTGTGTGAATGCAAGACAGTGTTCGGTGTCGAATCAGCTGATCTCCAAAGTGAGCGAGGTGACAGGACAGTAACAAAAGTCAGTGAATAATAATGACTTGATCGCATACTAGACTGTGCAAAACTATTAAGGTGTCAGTCGTACCTGAGCTGAAGAATCAGCTCTATGTGTGTGCACGCCTACAAAGTGTACCAAGTGTACCTCGTGGCGCAGTAGCTCATCCAGATCAAGGGCTACTAAAATTCACAGGTTATTGTAACGTGTGAAGTACAGAAAGAAAGTGGTACGATTTCTTATTTGTTTTCACTCATGCACAAACAAAAAAAAAATCCAATCCACTGAGAAGTCAAAGAGGTGCACAAACAGCCATATTTGTCATATTACTGTTGTTACAATAGAAGCGCCAGAAAGGCCCCAACCACACCTCCCTCATGTGGGAGTCAGCTAATGGAACCAGTCCCTCCATGATCACAAACACTAAGCTCAATATCATCACAAAATAACAGGATAAAAGTGTTACACGGCATGTGTGGCAGTGAGATTTCAAGCTATTGCATCATTTTGTATTTTTAATATTTTTTATTATTATTTTATATTTGGAGTTCAATATGAAGAATCGTATGTTATGGCCCAGGTTCATGAACACTCCTAACTCAAGGCATAATTTTGCCATAAATAAACCTAATTACAAGATTTGTGTATAGATGGTACAGAGGCACATACAAACACTTATATGAACATTATAATCCAGACAAATACTCTAGGATGAGTAGTGATACTAGTGCCCAGTCAACAAATAAACTTAAGATGACAATTGTGTTTAGGTTTGATTCAATTCTGCCCAATACTGTAGGAGGAGCAGTGATTTTGTGAACTGTGAACAGACTGACAAGTGATAAATACCTCGTGTGGCACTGAAGTAGCCTATTATTTATAAAAAAAAATATGCTGTGTGACAATATTTGCAAGCCAATTTACTTCAGTCTTGCTGTTCCTTGTACTGGTTACACTCTGGTTACATTTTCAGGTTTCCATGGCAATGACTAGCTGTCACCACTACCTTAATATAAAGTCAGTGACTTTGACAACACACCACCCACTTGTCAGACGTAAACATCACAGTCAACAATAGTTTGATTCAGCACATCTTTTTACTTAAAACTGCATGTTTATACTGGAGAAAAGCACAAAATACATTCTCAGGGTCAGAAATTACATAAACTGAAAAACATCAGCACGGCGATAATGCAGCTAAGCCCTCTAAAACACTTGCAATACCATATAAAGTTGAATTAAATGTTATACATCCACCGTAGGATGTTGATTACATTCCTTCCTCCTACAGTTGGTTAAAATAGAAATCTGTACCTTGATGAATAGAGCTGCTGTGGTTCAAGTACATCCAACCTTACTATCTATATATATATCTATAAGGTGCAAGCCTAGGTGTTTCTGCATGAAAACACCTAGGCTTGCAGTTAGGGAATACAGAGTGCTGTCCAGTAAATCTAAAGTTACCTCGGAAAACATAAAAACAGAGTAAAACAAAAGACATTTAAGTAAAAGAGGCACAGTAAGAAGAAGTTTTGGTATATATACACAGCAAAGGCTGCACAGTGATGTGCAGAATTCCCTCACGTTTACAAGGCAAATAGCTGACTTGATGCAGGTGAAATTTATGATGGTGAAGTTACAGCAAGTGTTTCTGCATGCCATGACGGCAAACCAGCCATAGATTGAATAACAGTTTAACTTAGACGTAAGTTTCCAGTCCAGAGGAACCGCAGTGCCTTAAACTCGTATTCTTTCTTATGGCCAGCAGAGGGTGACTCCTCTGGCTCCAAAGTATTGTCCAATATATTAACATTTGAAAGAAATTGACTGTAATGCTCACTCCATTTGTGACCACAGCAAACACTTTCAAGCATGATGATCTGTTTTTAAAAATACTTAAACTAAAATAGACTGAGTAAGCTTTAGGGTATGGAGACATTGTGTCAAGTCCCTACTTTACGACCATAGTGTTTCTTTGTCAGATCTACCTCTTGCTTGTTACATCACGATTTCTTTTTTTCTTTTTTTTTTCAGAAAACATAAAAACATGATAATGCCTATGATTATAATATTGAGTTCAGGGCTCTAAAGGGGACTCCACTAACAAAGGATGTCTTCAAGGCACTCACATCCATCTTTTAAATAGCCTACACTTTAACATCTTTGGGAGTTTAGCCGTCATTAGAAATAATCATTCAGCACAGAAAAGCAGTTACTGCATGAGCAAAGAGGTTTCTATGTTAGACCCTTTGATACTATATTGAAATGATACTGTATGTATATGCAGGTTCAAAAAGCATATTTGGCCCTTTACTGTTTTGACCTGTACAAAACACTAAGTTATGTATGAGTGTTTCTTCATCTAATGTCCCTTTGAGAATGGAATTAGTGGGTTTGCATTTGTAGCACTTTATTTTAGAGTGCATGAACCTCATCTGGACTTAGCATCGTCTTCGGCTAATCGGCAACTTCTAGCAATTATTAGCAGAGCAGAGTTCACAGACACAATGCTAATGTACTCTCAGCTTTAACATGCACTGTGCAACTAGTGTCTGGAATGCCCACCGTATCACCTGCTACAAACCAAGATGGAGCAAGTAATGTTGCAGGGCTACATGCTAATGTTAGCATATAGCTCGTGTGGCTGTAGTCCTTTCAGTTTGTTTGTTTCTGAATATTATTTTAGATTTCTAAAATCTATACCTTACTGGGATTAGTCATAAAAGACTGAACTACGCACATGCTGAATGCTGCACTTCATCAAACATATATTCAAGCTCATCTTCTGCATCTCACAGCAGACAGCTTCTGACAATGCCTTGTGTGATTCCAGATTCTCTGACTAATGTGCAAACACTATTAAATGAAATACTGAAATTATAAGGAATTAAAACAACAAATATGGGCGTTTTTTATGTTGCTTACAAGAGGCAGGCTTGTTTTTCTATCAAAACACGCTTCACCTTGTGATTAAACTCAGAAAATCAATTCCTTCATTTTGTCGCTTGCTTTCAACTCTTTCTATGCAGATTTTTTTTCAATAATAAACAACAAATTCTGATGAAGAAGAAGCACAAAAGCAAGTGAAATGCTCTCTGCACTTATCATTTGGTTAGCCAGTCTACATAGAAAGAAAAAGGACTCAATTTTTTGGTTTTATCCAGAATATGCTGATGTGTTATAACAATATAGCCGTTAAAGCTGGTGTACTTTTCTTATTGATGATTGTAATTTCACTTAAGCAGTTACCTATAGCTTTCCTTCAAAGTTAGAAAACTATAAACTATCGGGGCTTTTTCTTAATTTTTATATTTTCCACTGAAAAACAAAAATTTACAGAAATATTAATGAATAAAAGAGCGTCCAGTGCTATTTTAACTCTTCCTCTCCTCTTCTCATATCTCTCCGTCCCTCTCGTTCACACGGGCGTCGTCCTGTCCACGGCCCTCGGCTCCTCTTCTCCTGGCTCTGGGTGAGTTAGCTCCCTGATACCAACCCTCTTGGTCCCTTTCCTCCCCGTCCAAATTTTGCACTACATCACAGTCGTCTTCCTTCCTCTCATCTTCTCTGTCGTCCTCCTCGCTCCTCTCCGAGTCGGACTCATCGGAGTTGTCCTCTTCCAGGTAGCGGTAACCTTTGACCTGAGGACAAAAAGAATTAGTTGAATTAGTTGCTCTGATGTCAAAACCCGTTTCTAGCTTAGTATGCAGTAGCATTTTTCACAATAAAATGCACTGATCCTTGGATTACCTTCTTCCAGAAGAAGGACAAATCAGTTTTTAGCAATTCTAATCTAACCACATAACAAAACGCTATATTCTACTTATATAAAACGCTTATGTAAGCAGACAATCTCTCAACAGCCTGTTCTATCTACTTCTTTTGGTCTGCCATCATTCAGAAACCTCAAAATAAAACTTCCATTTACTTTAATGTAAAACAAATAAGATCCTTCAAAGCTTGATTGAAGCGCCTTTTTATATTTTTGCGTGAAAGGCTAAAATCTAAAATCAACAGAGAAGGAGTCAGCAAAATAAATCAGACTGAATCCACAAAAATGCCATCTCAAGGATTTTCTGTGTGCAAATACTTGTTTCTGATAGGTCACTGTTATACACAGCAAAATCCATGCATAGAATATAATACAAATATAACAACAACCATGTGTATTCAGTGACTTCGCACATGTTTAAATAGTGGCACGGACTTGATAGACATGTAATATTATTTTCAGATATTGTCCTAAAGGACACCTTCATGGGTAATACTGCTCATACATTTGCAGATAACTGTAAACAACGTTTGAAAAACTAAGTTGCCTTTGGTGTGAGTTTTTTTTCTACAAAAGAAAATGAAGGAAAAAAAGGGAAAAATAATGAGCTTATATCTACTCATTCCTCTTCAAAGAAAAAGTTTTTACAGACTGCATGGGGGAGTTTTTGGCATGCCCCAAAGTAATTTCAGCCAGAGCATAAGAAAAATAATCAGCTGCCTCTTAATTAGGGTTTCATTTTTGTCAGATGATCAGAAATACAAGAATATGCATGGATGTCTGTCAAATACGGTAACATGCACTAATTGCCTGTATTGTCTGCTTACAAACACAGCCACCTCCCAAAGGCCCACAGAGACCTTTATGATATGTTCAGTTCCATATCACAGAAAGACTCTGATTGTTGTTGAAATCTAAAGAAACGATGACAGCTCGTGCAGAAAATGCGTCACTGCTCAGTTTGTGGTGTAGTTGATAAACAACACTGTATTTAATCTTCTTTAAACAGACTATTTTTTGCCTGCTGCCTTATTGCAAAACCAAAAATTCAGATCAATCAGAATATTTTTATTCTGATTTATGTATAATATCTAAGTATATCTTAAATCTAAACTAATTTATCTTAAAGCCACTATAATATGTCCACAGAAAAGTCGACATACTCGACTCCACTCATGTTGATGAGATGACGAAGGAACATGAGAAGTTGGAGTCAGGTAGCAAAATGAGATCCTCGCTGCGTAGCTTCAGTTTACAGTCAATTAAATGTGAATTAAACATGAAGTTGGTCACAGCTGCATAATAAATTGCTACAGCTGTATTTTATTACGTGAGGTTTAACAGTGCTCAGAACGTTTCATATTTAGGGACACTTTTAATTAAATTGATAACATGGCACAATGTGACAAGATTTTGAATTATCTTTTAACCACGCACACAGAATCTATGACAAGCAGAGAGTCTGGTGAAATTAAATGACTGAAACAACATATGAATACAAGGTTTTAAAGAGTGCCCCTGTGGCCATGGTTTGCATATTCCAGCTGCGTGCCGGTGCCTGTTTTATAAATTGACAGTGAAAACACTTCACGTGTGCATCTTCAATTATAGCCTCTGCCCTTCAGGTGGATTTTAGGAATTGAGGCATCCTCCAGCGTGATGTACTGAGACCGATTTCAAGGGGACAAGGAGGCGGATGGAGGACAGAGGAGATGAAATTAGAAAAATGAGAAAAGCATGCCACACCTGAGTGCAGCAGCTGATCAGCATTCTGCTCATTAATGAAACTGCAACTTCGATCCAGCACTACTAAACCACTCCTTACTGGCCACTGTGATCTGTGTTTTCGGGATGAGCTCAGTAAAATTCAAAACGTGACCTAGGGTAACTTCTCTGTCTTGTTATGTTTGAGTAATTTTGCCTGTAAGAATGTGGAAGCTTGGTAGGGGTTCTCTGCCATGTTCTAAACTGTTTTCCTGTGTTTGTGAGTAGCAGCAGAGCCTAATTAGTTTATAGTCTTCAATGTTTTTATGTTTTTAACACAGAGCTCCGATTTCTTTTTTTCTTTTTTCATGGTTTTGGTGGCGGTGTTGGAGCAGAGGTCCAGGGGTCAAACCTTGGAGACCCTGAAGTCTAGCTTCCTCATTTTATTCCCCTTTTTCCTTCTTTAATTATATAACTTGTTGACGTATAATGATTTATAGCAGAGGAGAGGCCTGTCCATTAGTTCTGACTTAAAGTTTTCTAGTGCCCACTATTCATGTTACACCTTGCGTCACCTTATACTTCAGGTAAAGACTATAACACACTGTGTGCGCAAAGAAACCTCTCAAGGTTCCCACTGAGTTTATCATGTCCCCAGCTCCCTGCATGCTCTAATCAGGGGTTTTTTTTTTCGGAGAGAAAACATGTCGGACAAACTCTCCTGCTGTGTGGAACGTGACAAAACAACTTTGATTTTCCTGAAAACATGCAGAGATCATGTTTGAAAAGGGCTCATTACAAAGACCAGATTCATGTATTGATCCTCGATGGACTGACTAGTTACCTTGTGTCGTGGCCGAGGGATGCGAGGCAGTCTGAATGGCACTCTCTTGGCCAGGCGCCGCTCCATCACCCAATAGCAACAGCAAGCCAGCAACAAAGTGACTAGTAGTATGGAAAGTTTTGCCTTAAAGGAAAGTGAAGAAAAAAATAGGTTAGACTAGGAACAAAAAAATGGAGGGAAAAACTAACGACATAAACACCGAGTCACATACCCTCATAGGAAGACCATACCAAAGGTAGACTATAAAGATGGCGATTGCCTGCCACCAGTGATAGATGGTGTAGACAAAGTCCAGGCGTTCCTTTTCTTCAGCGTACAGCATTCCGAGTAGGGCTGGAACACACAGAGGAACTCATGTTGTCGCGTGTCATAGCTGAAGACATGCAAACACAGAGACCATGGATGATACTCACTGCTGACGCCTGTCTTGTTCAGGGCGGTGCCGAGTCCCCATAGCGCAGAGATCACTAGTAGAGGGCCCTCATACTTGAAGCGATTCGGCTCTGGAGAAAATGCCATGAGAACCACCACAAGCACTCCATGCACAAAAGCACCACTGATGAGACACACCCAGCGTGGAAGCCGTAAGAGGGAAAGGCTAAGGGAGGAAAAGATGGAGGCGGAGAGGCCGTAGACGACGATGAGAAGCCACAGTTTATTTAGACCCAAAGCACATACACCGTAAGACTGTTGAGAAAGAAGGGGGGGGAGACACATTCTTTCAACATTTTATGACCTGATTCACAACTCTGCTTTCTCTCATGACATCCTTAAATCCTACATCCTTACATCTGTATTTCCGTTTCTCTTTAACAAACTTAAACTACTGTACAGACAATCTGCATGAGTTTAGTACCAGGGTGAATCCAGAGATGGCAAACAGTGTCTCGAATCCACTGTAGATGAAGAAGGGGCAGAGCAGCCGCAGGCGGTAGTCCCTCAGGTGTTTGAAAGGCAGCTGAAAGATGTTTCCCCAGCCTATACTGCGAAGGTCGATCTCTTCTGTTGGGCGGTAGGCGGCCCCACACAGCCCGAGGAACTGTGAGTAGCAGCACACAGAGATCACTTTATTCAGAATCATTTTCAATGGAGCTTGTGCTTCAGTTTGTTTTTGTCCCATGGTGAGGTTTTAAAAAATGTCTAAGAATAGAACAAACACAACAGATGCCTGAGAGCAACATTAGCTCTTAAACTAGCAGCTGGTACCCAGTTGGTACAGACTAAAGCCAGTGAAAAAGTGTTTTAGCATCTATTAGCTTGTTTTAGTTTAGTCTCATCACTTTCATCGTTTCCAGCAATTCCTCGAACAAATTGTAAGCCAAATGGATGCTAGCTTCCCAACAAGAATCCCAATTCACTGACTTTAAATACCAGAGGTCTGAGGTGTTTTCCAGTGCTTTGTTCATATCTTGCAAGTAGCCACAAGAACGGTTATAAAACGTCTGATTGGATCACCCTACATGGTATAATGTGAGCCTAACAATAATAGAATACTGTAAAACGACTAATATAGAACATTCAAGCACAAAGATTACAGCTAATGAATGTCGTAATCAACTCTGTTACAAGACCCCCACAGACCTTATCTTTGGGGATGCCTGGAGTTGTGGCGCTCTGCTGCTTCTCTGTTTACGCTTTATAGTTTGCAGCTTTAGCTTTACGGTAGCTCTCCTGTGATTTCTTTTATAACATCAATCTGAACGTCTTGTTTATTGAATATTTATAGCTTCTCGTGGGTTACACATGCTAACTGTGAGAGAGGTTCTCAGCTGCACACAACATGCCATATTTTAGACATCAATAGAGGTTTGAAAAAGGCTTAATTGTTTTCCTTTCTTTATAAAGATTTGATATTATCTAAGGATTAATTTCTCTTCTCTGTAAATCCAAACATTCTTAAGAAAACTTTTATCACATGTAATTCCATCTGAAATGGTTTCCTCAGAGCATTTTTACATTTATCTTTTAATGAGAAAGTGATGTACACGGGGATTTATAAGAATAAGATTACCGTTTCAGCTCGGTGTTAATTCCATCAGAGCATTTTTGGGTACCCAATTCAATTTTCTCTCAGTAATTTGCTCTTTGTTTTGGTTTTATATGCTTGTCTAGTGACTACTTAATGCTGATGTTTTATTGTTGTTTTGCAAGAACGTCACAACAGGAAACAGCGACACAGATTATACAAAGCCTGTCTAGATAATTAGAAAACAAACACCTAAACAAACTGAATGACCTCGAGTCCACGTGTTTATGTGCCTGTGTAGGAAGAGAACTTACAATGATCATGGAGAGGAAGGCGAAGCCCATGAGCACGCTCTCCACTTGGATGAGCAGCATGGAGCTTGGCAGTTTTTTCAGCACGGTGTTGTTGAAGCCGGGGATCAATCCGGTGACTTTAGCACCTGGTTTAGGGACAGGAAAGAAATTAGAAAATAACTGATGTCAGCCAAACAGCCTGTGTTAATCCTACAGACTGTTAAAGTGTCTGTCTGTACATTTAAGCAACAAACTGTACTTTACAGACTTTTATTGCAGCCGTACTTTATAAAATTACAAAAATGCTTTAAAAGTCTGAGTGGATGAAAGGCAGATAGGAATGCTGATTTAATAAAACCTAACAGAGCTGCAGACTGAAGAAAACAAAGTTCTTTATGCAGTTGTGATGTAAATCGAAGAGGTCAGCTACAGTCATGTGATCCTCTACCTCAGGTCTGTTTCCTCCTACTGTTAAAATGTGTGTTTTTTAGCCAGTAAACCTACTTCCACTTAATGAAAACATCTGAATGGGGAAACTGTGACACAGCCTGTCAGTTGGTGATGTTTCTCTTTAAGTTTCATTTTGAATAATACCAATGTTACCAACTATTTTTATTTTTTACCACCTGTTTAGTTTTGCACTGCTGATTTTAAAAAAGCAGCTGTGATCATGGTGCTTAACTAGTACTGAAAGTACTGTGCAAAAATCTTAGAGGCATGCAGCAATTTATTGAACCTGCAAAAACTGCTTGAACAGTTCTAGCTTGTGGGCTTTTTGAAGGACATTCAAAGCTCTACTTTGGCTGTTTCTGCCTTTTGTTCATTTCTCTGTCAACATGATCCCCACTGCTTTAATAATGTTGAGGTTCAGGCTCTGGGGAGACCAACCCATGATGTGTTTTTCTATCCAGTTTTTTTCTGCACTGGCAGTGCAGGGATCATTGACATGTGGAATAATTAGGCTGAATCATTACATCACTAGCAGTCTTTGTAGATAAGATTGAGTACTGAACATCAGATTTCAAATTTGCGCTGAAAGTTGAAAATACAAATTGACATTTTATTGCTTTTTGAAATTCACAAATCCAGCAGACACAGAACAATGTGTGGATATTTCAACCTGTTTCCAGCACCTGGTGAGATAACGAGCCTCCAGGTTTGGCCGTGGTTTGGTCTCTGAGAGAAATGTGTGGCTCTTTTACAAGCCTCTTGCTAATTTTACTTTTAGTACTTGGATTAAACCAGGTAACAAAGTGGCTGTGTCAGCTTTTTCTTTTCTTTTTTTTTTTAATAATTACGTTCTGCCTAGTCAATATTAACACTCGAGCAACAAAGTGTTTGTCTATGATTACTCTGAATCCTCCAAACACTCCACAAGGCACTAGGGGAACTAATAAAGAGTAAGACGGGAAGACTGATGGACTTCCTCATGTGTTTTTACAAAATAAAAAGCAGGGATGGGAGTTAAAATCTCTAAAATATAATTTGTTATAAATAGAAAAAGTTACATGAATTAACTGGTTTTAAATGACAGCCTCACAATTAACAGGATAGATTGATTTCTTTTTTTGGAATGATGATGGATTTAGTTGAAAAGTTGATAAACATTCCTTTTTCCCATACTCTTCCTCTTAATATTAACATGGAAGTAAATTTAACTTTTATTGTCCCGAGCTTATTATGGTGTATCTGTACTGAGTCGCTACTGGAAGTGAGGAGGCAAGTTTCTTTACCGCAGTGTTTCACTTGGGCGAGGACGTGGGAGTTATCATGGAGGTAAGCGCTGTTGAGGACGAAGGCCATGGGGAACTCGGCGAAGACAAAACTCAGCTGACGCAGAAGAAAAGAAAAAGGTTTGCCCATTTGTCCAGCAAACAGTATGATACTAATTACATCATTAATGAGGGAAAGCTGAGGGACTCACATTGAAAATGATGTTAAAGACCGACTGGAAGACGATGATATAGCTGTGGCACGCTCCCTTTGGGAGCTTCTTCTGCTCCTGCACGTGCTCCTCCTTATAGTTGACGCATTCATAGTACTGCTGTGCCATCCTGCGCATATATGAGAGTGTTTATGGTGTTAGAAAACAAATTTAGAGGCATTTATTTTGTACTTATCTTCAATTAATCACACGAGTCCCTTGTCTCTGTGTATGAAGTGTTTAAATTGATCAAAACCACATAGGCTGTCTCTGTTTCACACTAACAACTACGCTTTGCCCTATAAATGCTCTATATTCAGGAGGTGTAAAGAACCCGAGAACAAGCTTTACATTCACATTTCCTCTTTTAGGATTTAGCGACTTCATAAAAGGCAAAAACACATCAGAGCATTAAAAAAAAAGTATTCTGCCAGCAGCATTTATAATAAAAAGAAAGATCAATACAAACTGAACAGGCGGTGACAGAAAAAAGATCTCAGCTTGTAGTCAGCGCAGCACGGCTCAAAAGAAATACAACAAAGAGCCTGGTAAATTGTTCTTTCAGTCTGCTGTTGATTAAACTGATATAAGGTTTTGTTACATCTGTTGATGAAAAGACATTTTAAATAATGCTCACTCGATGATGCTTTCTGAGAGTTTTGTTGTGCCGGAGGGACACGTGAAGTAGGGACAGGTATTCAGTGTCTTCATAAAGCAGCAGCTCTTATCATCCACATGAAACATGTAAACATTAGACCTTACATCTAGCAGAAATATGGAGCATTGCTCGATTAGCTACTAGGAAAATTGTGCCAGGCTCTAAAACTCCAGGAGTCCCATTTTTGCTTGAAGAGCTACAATAGCAAAATGTTCTTTACAGAGCTCTACTACTGCCTACACTTGAGATCTTCTTCTGTCGCTCTGTTAAATCCTGTAGCTGCTCTGATAAACACTTAGTTTCAAGTAATAATGTCTGCATATAAACAAACAATTCCTGTGAGCCAAAAGTGTTTAGGGCTTCAGACTGCTCTAAACACTTTTACTGTAGTCTTGGCTGTTTGATGTCACTGTGGCACATGGATCTGGCTGTGACCACAGAGGCCTCCATTTGCTGTTCAAACCTTCTGCTCATGAGCAACTCAGACAAAAGCTGGGATAGAGACTAGAGAGAGGAGCTGAAACGGCGTGTTTCTCACAGAGGATGAACTGAAGAGCCGCACTAAAGCCTTTTTATAAGGTATTGTTTGTTTGTTTTTTGAGATTTCAACCGTCCTTTCTCATCTAAAAGTCTGCTGATAAAGCCCACTACAGCACTGTATTGTGCCTCCCATGGAGACTTTCTTGCTCTTTCTGCTAGTTTGTTTTACCTGATCGGCCCGTGATTGGCTCGCTTTTAAAAGAATGAATGAGGCAAGAGGAACAGCAGCTTTCTACTTCCTTCACTGGAATAGAATATCCTGAAAGGTTACTATAGTTTTAGGGGATTTTTTGTTTGTTTGTTTGTTTTTTATTTCTATAAATCTTAAGACGCAGCAAGGGTTAAGGAAGCACTTCCACCCACCCAAACTTCTACTTCTTCTTTCTCACCGTGTGATATAATTTCCCAAGGAGGCCCACAGGGGCACAATGGCCACACCGATGGCCACAGCCGATGGAACGAGGGTGTAGTAACGCTCCCAATAATTTGTAGAGACGAAGAGAGCGTAGATCCCCGAAGCCAGGAACATCATCCACTTGGTACCTAGAAACCTGGATGTGAGACAGGGTGTTTAAAGGAAGAGCAGGAACATTTATATAAAGACATGTTTTAAAACTTGGGTTTATGTTGCTACCTGATGAGGAGAGGCGTGTACAGGAGGCCTATGATCGGTGTGACATTAATCCCCATCAGCATCTTCTGGTCGATGTCCTGCAGGCCGAGGTTGCTGTACTTTACCTCACGGTAGGTCGTATCGTAGTGGAGGATCAACTGCATCTGCAGGAGGCCTGTTGCACACATGTACAGGTACAGTAAATGTTCACGAGTATTCAAGCTACCCTGTCTGTGTTTGCCAGTTTCAGCACCCCATCTTCAGGGAAACTCACCCATGTACACACTGTACACAATCATGGCTCCAATACTGGCTGCAACAACATTCTTGATGATTCCCAGCCTCTTCCTTCGATAGTATTTCTTCTCCTCCTCCTCCTCGTTGTAATCTGCCTGTGGGCCCAAAAACTCCTCCATCTAAAGAAAGAAGGACAAAAAGCAGAGGCAGAGACGTGTTTATCAAATTAAAATAGGATTGTTCTGATCCGTAGTACACCAAAACTGATAACCAGAGAAGCTGGATTTATGAAGGTTCTCTGAAATCAGCTGAGCTTACCTGGCCCTGCATGTTGTCTTCGTGGTCCACATTGAGCATTTCGTTCACGTTGCCATTTGGAGGCACAACAAACTGATCATCATGAGGGATCAAAGCTTCATCGCCAGTTGCCTCCATCTGGTGACCAGAAGAAGCAGCACGCTATATTAATACTTCACTGCACCTTGTGCCATCATCGAAACCAATCGGCCACCTGCAGCCACCGTGGTTTTCAAGCTGCTGCACATGAACGAAACTCTAATTATAGATGCTTAAAGTTTTCAGAATCAAATTAACTGCAGACGTAAATATCATTAGTGTAATTACTATAATGTTGTATCAAACACACCTGACTCCAAATCACTTTAGATGCATTTTCAGATTTATTTTTAAGTATTTTGTTCATTTATTTTTGTTTTGAGTACTCTGAGACAAAACAAAACTGGCTAACTTTAGCACATGTATTTATAGCTTTAAAACTGAACACGTTATAAAGTGAGATTGTGTTAAAATTCACAAAAATGCATACAGAAGCAGCATTACAGAAGCCATACTTCCTCTTAATTGTTTCTCAACACAACGTGCCAAAACGTTTTAAAGCTTGAAAAGCTATTTTAATACAAATATTAAGAAATCATAGAATAGGGGGTGGCAGTTATATAGAGGATATGTTCAGATAAGGGACTACTCACATTCACATCAGGATATGATATTTTCATTTATTTTAAAAACTAGCTGAATGAGTACTTTAACACGTGACTGTTTAACTTATTTTATCCAAGTTTTTATTTCAAGTGAAATTATTATACGTAAAAGTCCAACAAAATATTCACATTTAATGAAACATAAAAAAGACGAGCAGTGTGTGATGTTGTTTAAAGAAATTCAGTTTCAGTTGTGTGTCCAGAGCAGTATGGCAGGTTGACCTTCCCGTGCACCGTGAGCTGCACGTTTATTACGCGTGCCGATCACGGTGCAGCTACAAAAGTCCAAAACCTTCACATGTGTTTTTGGAGCTAAACGACTGCAGCGTTTCTAAACAACTAAAACTAACTAAAACTTGCAACTCTTCTTACATTTGTATGCCTCTGTAGTAATACTGGAATCACCACAAGCTGCAGTGCATTTTATAAAAAGCTGGTGACATTTATGACATCACTGCATTTTTTCCGCTTGTAAAGCCGTCCACTGTTTTATGCTGGACCTTTTGAACCAGTTCTGGTGTTGTGCCAACAACTGATTTCCAATGTTTCCAATGTGTTTTGATGTCTTATGTCTTTACGTATGTTGGCAGACTTTGGTGAACAGGATTCACACAGAGGTTATATATGAAATTAAGAAATGGCCTGTTTTGCAAGTATCTTTATGAGTCTGCATTATTGTACCTACATCATAACCAACTCGGTCTTTTTGGCCACTGTGCTTTTTTGTTGTTTTGTATAGATTCCTCTGGACTGTACAGCTCTGCTGTTTACTCTTACTATTTATATCCTCCTGCATAGTTCGTGTGGAGTACCCATAATTTAATTGTGCATGTACAGTGAGGATTAAAGTCCTGTTTTATTGAACTCTCTTTATACAACTGTTATGTTAAATTGTTGCAGTTTCTGCTGCCCTCTTGGCCAGATCACTTTTTAAAAGAACATGTTTCCTTTCAGTGAGGCTTTTCAACCGAATAAATAAAGGATATAAAAAAGTCGCTTTGACAGCAGCTTCTACATTGTGACAGGAATGTTGTTTGTAGCTCAAAATAACTTGATGTCATTCATGAGGGATACATTTGACATATGTTTCACATATTAAAGGCCAACAAGTCAATAACAGAAGTTTAAATACATGCAATCACTTTGTTTAAGTTGTTAAGTGATAAAGTTTTCTGTTTTTGAATTAAAAACCTGCCGAATCAGTGGTGAGTACCATACTTGGTGATTCAAACCCCCAACAAGAGAAAATGAACTTGCATAGGATACAAGAAGTGTTCCTTTGTTTCTTTTAAATTGTATTTACATCACATTCCTTTGCATAATTAATATTATTCTTACTATTATAGGTTACCATTCACAGTTCATGGACTCCTCCTTCTCCTGTAATAATTACTGAAGTGTCTTTTGTTTGTTTTATGACTTTTTATGACCAGATTTATAAACTGCATTTTTATAAAAGCAGATGTGATCCATCAAAACACCTTTATCGACAGAAAAGCGTGTCTGTCTTAACAAACCAGCCTCATTCACAAGCCTTTTGTTTGCCTGACTTCTCTTTTCCTTCCCAGTATGGAAACTATGAAAGTTAAAGCCGTGCGGGATGGTGTAACTGCGTTTAACCCCTTATTTCAGATTTCTTTGACAGCGTCATATTATGACCCTTGTTATTACTTTCATGACAGTTTGCATCCGGGTCTTGTTGACGTTTCAGCGTTTCAAAGTTATCAGTCAAACCCACGTTCATAAAACAATCACGACCGTGTTTTGCCATCTACCCTGAAATTCACTTACCGTGTCAGTGGAGCGGGGCTGAAGCAGAATGAAGACGGGGACAGAGACACACGGACATCCCCGCCCCTGTGTCCCTTTCAGACCCTGTTGTCGTTACTTCTCCTTTCTTATATTAGGTGCAGTATAAATAAAAAGTTTCGTGGAGGAAACGAAAGTTAGCTATCTTCACTTCCTCACTTGTGCCTGCTTCTCTTAAAGCCACAGACGCGCTTTTAGGAAACACGCCCCCTTCAGGCTCTATGTGTATGTGTGTGTGTGTGTGTGTGTGTATACATGTTTAGACGTCTTTGTGAGGACTTATGGGGGACAAAATGTTCGTCCCCACGAGTTGAAGGCATTTTTGAGGCTCAAAATGTGAGTTTAGGGTTAGAGTTACAATTAGTTTATGGTTAGGTTTAGGCTTATGACTAGGATTAGACATTCATTTTTGATGGTTAGGGTAAGCGGCTTGGGAAAGCATTATGTCAATGGGATGTCCCCACGAGGATAGCAAACCAGACATGTGTGTGTGTATCGGAACTTTTAAAGAATTATTAATAATTATTAAGCGCGGTATCACGGGCTGGGGATGGAGGGGGCATGGGATATATAAAATTAATACTGAAGCAAACCGCTTGAAATCCACCGGTTATTATAATTCCGTCTCAGTTGCGCAGTTTGCAGTTCTGTTATAACATCACACGTGTTGTTCTGTTGAGCGGTGGGAGCAACAATGTCTCACACTTGCTCGGTTTGGTTGATTCAGAGCGACCCACCAGATGGCTTTGCAGAGTGCGAGAGCTGCAGTGAACTCATTAATTATACATTTAATAAAAAATAACACGCACTGCTGTTCCTGCTCTGGTGACGTCATGCTGGTACACAGGAGTAAAAATGCACAAACTTTACTTATTCTAGAGAAAGATCTTTAGATCCAGACACTGCCTGCATTATGGATAGAAAGCTGAAAGCCGGTTTCAGTTGCTGCTTGTTTGTGGCTCTCTCTGTCTTCAGTAACTGAAAAGCATGCTCTATTGGTCACAAATAAACACTAGTGGCACGGTTCCACTGCCAGCCATACATGCTCAAACTATAACACTGTCTCTACCATGTCTGACAGATGGTGCCGTGTTTGAGATCTTAAGGTGTGTCTCTCCTTCGACGCTCAGGTTTTCACTTGTCCATAATGACTTTTAGTTTTAGCCAAGCAGGATCTTTGACATGCTTTTTTGCAAAGTTTAATCTAGCCTTCTTCTTCTTGTGTAACCAGTGGTTTGCTTCATGTTTTAAACCCTCTATATCTGCATCTCTTGATTGTAGATATGGTTAATCAGCCTCCCTCCTTGAGCGCGGTCGTCCCTGGCCTGAAGTTGTAAAGCAGTTTTTCTTAAACCAGGAAAGAGTTCTGTGATCATGTTTCAGAATTCTTCACAGAAAATTTCATATCAACAAAACTTTTAGAACCTTTTTTTTTTCAAAATGTAGAAAAACACTATGTTGTATCTGTAATAATCACTCGAGATTTCATTGTATTTCATCTTATAGTTACTGTATATTCATTCACACACACTGTTGTCCACATACTGCACGAGAGTGAAGTCGAACCATACCACAAACCTCGTGTGAGGGCCAGAATAAATACTTCCAACACTCATGAAGCTAGGCTGCACGATGACAGCGCTTTATTAGAGTTAACAGCACACTGTGCAGCTTCTCTGCAGTGCAGATGAAAAGCTGTGTCACTGTGGTTTAAACATGAAGAAAAAGAGACACGCACACTAAAACATGGTCCACTGACACACAGCACAACAGTCTACACAAGCATGACAAAATGAGCAAAGTTCAGGCATTGGTTTTTTGTTTTTTTTATCTGAGCTGTTAAAGACAAAGAACCAACCAGGGTCAAAAGAGTAAACTATGAATAGTACAAAAAAGACATTTTGGCTCAGCCCATAATGAATTCTGTGCATGCCCTGACCCATGATTCGCTGTTTCTGAGGTGTTGCACAGGACTGACATGTCTGCATGACAGACAACTGTAAATAAACTAGTTCCACGGGTTGAACTGCAGCTTTGCAAAGAGTCTATATTTACTTTCAGTGCCTTCCAAAACCAAACAAGAAAAATCTGACCCCAGTTCAAAGGGTGAATTGAGATAAAGATTAAAGTTGAATCATTCTTTGCATTTGTCTGGACCTGTCACATTTCTGGTTTCTAGCTTTCTGGTGTTACGCGTCAGAGGCCTTTCTCCTTTTCAGTCAGATTTTCAGGTGACTTCGAGAGTCCAGGCTCAACGTACAGAAAGTGGAAAAGATCCAGAGTGTCTGGTCCACTGTGAGTAGTTTCAACATGTCCTTATGCTGCTGATCCACCAAGTTTCTGAGGAAGAGGCAGTTTCTCTCAGCGGGCCCTCGACAGCATTAACTCCACACTTTTTTTTTTTATTTCCCACCCTTTAATTAAAATACAAGTCTCTCATTGTTTGAAGCCACACATGCTAACCCCATCCCCATGACCTTTTGATCCCACATCATTCTCCACTTTGTTTTCTTCATCCACGTCTATCCGCTCCCCACAGCCGCCTTCCTCATCATTTCCTCGTCCTGGACTGAGAGCTCCGTCAGCTTGCGTCCTAGCCGCTCGTGAAGGTCCAGATATTTGGCCACGCAGCGGTCCAGGCAGACCGACTCACCCTTGGTCAGCTCTGCCTCCTTATAATGTGGCGGTACGCACTTCCTGTGGCAGGCATTAGTCATTCTGAGAGGAAAGGAAGGAAACAGTCAAGATTCTTCAGTATTAAGAGTGATGATAAAAATACATTTTTAAAACATAACAAACGTGTTACTACATGATATATTCACGCATAAGCACCTTATTGTGGGGTCCCCATTATGACTTGCTTACAACAGTCACTTAGTAAAACAGAACAGCGCCATCTGCTGGAGTTATTTTGTGAACCTAAAGTTGGCTCTGAATACTCTCCTTTTAAAATTCATAGTTTCATATGACCTGATATAATAGTTATTTAATTTCATAAAGATGTTAAATTAACCAACTTTTAGGTCAAGAAAAGGTGCATTTAAGAAGAGTATTTAGAATTTCTGCAAATAAAATGTATTCTGGCTCATGTCACAGCAGAAATGTGCTTCCCGGTGTTGACACAGATCCTTCATCAGAGCAGGGAGAGACACAGATTCAGTTTAATTATATACTTCAAAGAAGAACTAGCAAAAAGTTAAATGGCAACTAATTACTTCCTTTGTCCTCAAAGTCTTCACAGGGATAAGCCCCGAGGACAGAATTTCATACATCCTTGCCCAACAAACACCACATGACCACCGACGGACATTAAACCCAGTTCCTCTTCACTGCAGGAGATTCACAAAGAGACCAAACTCAAAACACATGAAAGTCATCAACCTCTCATTTCATGTTGCTGAATGAGTCTATCCAACAGCACTTCATCTAGCCAAATGTCTTTTAATACAACACCATGCTCATCAGAAGAAGCCTTAAGTTCCTTCTGCAGGTCACCATCACCGTTTGCCTTAGGAGACACAGTGATGGTGACCTGATAAATCACATTTCAGTGGATTATTTCTTTAACCCGATTAAAATTATTGGTTAGGTTCTTCACATCCAGCCCCAGGATTCAAAAAACTGCAACAAGGCAGACGATAAGCCACGAACGCCTCTAACTGCCTGAAAGGCCCAGTTACTGTCACTGTTGTGGTGAACTACAAGAAACAGTTAAACTGTTAAAAACAGGCATTTTACACTATGTACTTCTAAAAGTACTGCCAGCATTGGGATACCAATACAATCCCCTAAATCTGAAACATCAACTTACTGATGTGTCAAAATGTTTCCTGTGAAAAGATACTAAACATAACAAACAAACATGACATGCCTCGCCTACCACCAGACCCAACTAAACAGAACAGCCCATCTGACAACGTCCAACAACTGTGTGACGCCATCACGTCAATACAGACCAAAATCTCTGAGGAATGTTTCCACCATTTATTTATATCTATGCTAAAGGCAAAGGGGGAATTATCACGTATGAGCAAGCACTAATCAGGTGGCCAGTAACATATCTTTAATGGCTCTAAGATGTTGCCAGGTATCATATGAATGTTGAGAAATTTTTAACTAGAATTTGATAGAATTATTGCTCACTTCCATCCACAAAATGTAAACAAACATTAGTATTTGGTTTATGGAGTGATGTCAATAACTGGGCGCCATCAAATTACTGCAGAAGAAAATCCCAGTAAGCTGATAGAGAGCCAAGAGCCAATCAAACCTCAGTCAAAAAAGTAAAGCAAGCAAACTGCTTGTTTCTTGATCTGAATGGTTGAACAAACCCATAACTCATTGCTCATGTATATTTATTCGTCTCTTTCAAGCCAAAAACACCTGCATAAAAGTACATAAACTATTTTCTTTGGCAACTGACTGAATCTGACTCAGTGGATTTTAACTGCAAGACTTTATTAAAAGCACATGAATGTATAATTTGTGCAAGGTCATGAAAGGATAAATATTAACCAGGCTCGTCTTTTCTTCATTCAGAGATGCAGGTCTGTGCTGCTTCTTCCAAGTATAAAAATACTTGTGATCAAAACCACTTAACTTAATATGAATGAATGTACTCTTACACAAGTGACGGCATTTAAGTAGATTACTGTGTTATGACACAAGGACACATCTTTATATTATGAGAAAAAGCCGTACTGTGCTTACACTGTAAAATTGTGACATGTGAAGTAAATTCAGTGAGTTAAGCACTAAACTCAGGCCTTTAATTTTTAGTCACTATAGCTCTTTTTAAAATAAATGCTATCCCACACTGGATTTAACCCTTGCCAGCCTTTAGTAGAAGCCACCCTTTGCCTTAAACATGCCGGCTGGTGGGCCTTTATAATAATGAGCTTCACCAGCAGGACACTTGCTCGCATTAACGATGAGCTGTACAGGCTCAACTTCACTAAACAGTAATTATCTTTGCACATTATTCTGGCACACTGTAAATACATGTACGTTTGACACATAAAAGCCGCGACACTTCACAGCAGACTGCTGTGGCTAGCTGAGAGGTTAGCTTGTTTGGGCTTTACCGGTTGTACATGTCAGCCATCATCTCCACCTCCAGCTCCGCCGCCAGCTGCTGCGCCTTCACAGGATCCATGGCTCCGCTTCAGTTCTGCTCACACCGGGTCTCGAACCACAAACACGCCGTCCCGCTGAGCCTCTCCTCCGGACAGCAAGCAAGGAGCAGTACCCGCTGCTTCTGTAACCTTCAAACCTGCACGAAAACACGTGTGTGCCGTTTCCCTCACACACTTCCGGTGACAATAAAGTTGGATTCAAAAAGCAGAAAGCGGAGGGAGCAGGAAGCGCGCCCTCTACAGGTGTGTGTGTGTGTATTTCTATTTGTCCAAAGTAAGATAAGAGCCTCACAGGGAAGTGAAGGACAAAAAACCTGCTTAAGTTCAAACTGAACATCAGAATGAGGAAGAAAGTTGGTTTGTTCTGTATTTCTGAAACTTCTGTCTCCATTTATTTATTCATGCTATTTGTATTTTATCTATTAGTACATATTAACCGGCATATGTGTGTGGACACCAGAGAAAGAATTTCATTGTACAGAGAAATGCTTTTCTTTGTACACATGACAATAAATGCTTTGAATCTTCTGAGATGTTCCAATGCAGAGAGATCAGAAAAAGATCAAATGTCCAGTGAGCACCAGCTCTCTGGGTAAAAATTTATTGTGGATGGCAGAGGACAAAGGAAAATGGGCAGACTGCTGCAAGCTGATGAGCAGGCAACAGTAACTCAACTAACCACCCGATGCTTGGTTTTGGGGTTGGAAAAAACTGCTTCGTAATTGGACGTCTCGGTTTCTTCTGCAGTATTTGGATGGTTCTGGTGTAAACATAAAAGCATAGATTTACCTTGCTTTGTGTGTCAAGTCCATCCCTTTATGACCACAGTGTACAAATCTTCAGCAAGACACTCAAAGGGCCTCCATAGATACCAGAGCTCAATCCAAAGTATTGCATTATAAATGTGTAGCTCATAAATCTGGGGAGCAAACCAGCTGTAACATGTGATGCTGTCATGTCAATATGGACCAAAATGGAAAAGGAATATTTCCAGCACTTTGTTAAATCTATGCCAATTAGAAGTCTAGCAAAATGTAACTAATAATGTGGCCAGTGAGTGTATATTCTGTAGTGCCCTCTTGTGTTCAGCTATGGTGCTTTTTAAAGAAAGCAAGCGGTCACATGAAAACGTTTAATAAACCATAATTATATTATGTACTGATGTACATAAAACAGTTTTACATATAGACTTAAAACAACAGAGCTTTTCCACAATGGAAACATACAGAGGGACATCACTGAAGGCCACTCAACTGCCTTTTCCTCTATTCATCAGACAATTTCGCTGAAAATGTAAAATTTATAAAATTGACAAAAGAAACTTTTTCTTTAGAATATTATTAAAGGAAATGAAACATCTTTTTGAACCGTATACAGAAGGAACTAAACGAAAACCCAAAGCGGTGAAAACATGAAGTGAAGAATGTAAAAATGAATCTTTATACGCAACTTCATGTGACATGTGAACATAAACACAACCAGAACAGAGACAGCATTAGAGTGAGAGCCGACCACTGGACGGGGTAGAAAATACACACGTACATGACGTTACTCTGCCTCGTCTCCAGTCACGTCAATCTCATTCACATCATCTTCCTCATCTTCATTCGGAGTCATGTCTATGTTGTTGAGGAACCCCTCACACTCTCTGGTCTGAGATGCTTTTTCTGGGGAGCAAACCAGAACATCCACCTCTTCTTCTTCCTCCTCCTCCTCCTCCTCCTCTTTTCCCTTTTTGTCTGTACTGGTTATCTTCACGGTCAAGGGCTGCAACATGAAGTCCAAAGCTGTGTTTTCTTCAGGTAGGAGGGTGTCACTGTGAGAGGAGCAGTCATCATTGAGGAATGGAGACCCCGTTGTATCAGATTTCCCTGTGCCACAGAAGGAGACTGTGAGGGTAGCAGGAGCATGTGCGTGCATGTTTGTGTGCAAGCAGAAAGAGGCATACTCACACTTTCCGATGATAAATAACTGATCAATAGTCAGCTGCCTCTAAAGCCAGCAGTGAGCTTTTGACGTTAGTGTCTCATCTGCAAACACCGTCAGCAAATAAAACACAAGATCAGCTGCCTTTCAAGTGATTCTGTTCTTGTTCTGCTCTGCAGCCCTCGAGAGCTCAGCGCACCAGCATGGACCAGCATCATCTCAATCGAGTGGCCACTGAGCTCACAGTGCATCTCCAGACCAAACAAGAACTTTAATCACCAGCTGAAGTCAAAAACAGTGGAGCAGAAGTCCATCCACCTAGACCAGGGGTGTGGAACTCCAGGCCTCAGGTTTTAGATGTGTCCTTGATCCATCACAGCTGATTTAAATGGCTAAATTACCTCCTCAACATCTCTTTACGTTCTCCAGAGGCCTGGAAATGAACTAATCATTTGATTCAGGTGTGTTGACCCAGAGCGATATTTAAAACCTGCAGGACACCTGCCCGTGAGGCCTGGAGTTGGACGGTGACCGCAACAAGAGCAACCTGGTCAGGCTGCCACCTAGTCTTGGTCCTCCACAGGAAGGAGCAGGGTTAGGTGGTTAGTTTGAAAATAACAGCTAGTAGATGACAGGAACCTGCACAGCCAAATGGAAAGAAAGTTTTATGGCATGCTTTAAATGCTCGAGTGCCATCCCACTGTTGTGACATAACTGAGGACATAAAAAAGGAAGAAACTAAATAGCAAAAGCAAACATGGACACATGCCTACAGAGAGAAGTTTACAGCGTTTCCTACACAAAACACTGCATTCTCCTTCCAAGGTAGATTTTTTTTGTAATGTAGTAGATCCACTGAGAAATGAAGGTGCCGTCCAACCAGACTGCAGGACAAACAGCACTTAAGTACATGTTGTTCATGCACTGGATCGTGCAACAGCACGTTTAAAAAAAATGGCCGTATTAAAGCTGATGTCTGAACAGATACTGAAATTCTGAGCAGACTTAAAAAGACAAAAAATATTAAAATGTAAATTTGCTCTATTGCAAGGTTTAACCTGAAATGATATTCAGTTTTTTTATTCGTTTTTTCTCTTTTTTTATGTCTAAATCTGCATCTACTTTAAGAAAAGTTTTTTGGTTTCTTGAAGTGAAACTATGCGGCTTTGCGTCAGCCCACATGGGGGCGACACAAACACCGTGCCTTAGCTCCAACGTGACAGTTTATGGTCTGTGTTTTTACAGTTTACTCCCATCTGCAAGAGACAAATGGCCTGAAGCCACAGCACACTATGCCAACCCATCCTCGGAGGTGCCTGTGTGATTGGCATAGAGCAGAAAAATCAATACTACCAATGTAATCATTCATTCTGAATAACAACCTTCAAAACAAAATCCAATTAATTTACCATGGCAACAGAAACAGCAAAATTCAAAGTACCTTCATAAGGACTTCCCAGTGGTCGCTCTCTCTCCGGTGTCACCTTGACTTCATCTTCTTCCACAACGTCTAAGGACACTGGGTGGTCTTCATCACCATCCAAACTCCTCTTCTCGCTCATACGACTGTTTGTCTCTGCAGACGGGCTCAAAAGAAGATTGTGATTTTTATCAACTGCGATGTTTGAACCTTTGTGATGTTCTTCAGAGTTTGTCCCGTCTTTAATGTCCACTCCTTTCTCCAATATGCCATCTGTGCCTGTTGCAGGTTCATGTGTTTCCTGGGTCTGTTTGGACTTCATTCTTCGTGCTTGTTGCCATTTAATAAGCTTCTGAATGTCCTTCAGAGTGACCACGTGCCGCTGATTCACTGTCCCTGGTTTTACGTTACAGTCATTATTGGTTTCTTCAGCCTTTTCAGTGTGCTCGACACTCGCAGTCTTCTTCACTGGGCTGACCTCCACCTCGCTCTCATTCCTCCTCCGTTTCCTGCACGTCCTCTCCATTTTTTTCTCCTCCTGCTCCTTTGGCAAGTCCCTGTCGACCTGCGCATTATCGACATTTTCATTGTTTTCAACAACGGCAGGAACACTTTGTGTAGAGTCCTCTACAGGTCTTATTTTTCGGGGTCTACCACGTTTCCTTTTCGCGAGCGAGACGCCATCCTGACTCACAAGCTGAGCTCTGCTGACGACAGGCTTGAAAATGCAAGGCGTTTCAGGTGGGGTTGTGTTATTTGCTGCCTCTTGAGATTTTTTTATAAAGCCCCTGGTCCTGATCCGAGACTGCTTGGTGCCAAAGGGTTTTTCTTCCCCAGTGTCAATGACGGGCAACATTTTGCTGGGTTTCCCTGGAAGTCCAGATGATAGTGCGTTTGAAGACCTGATAGCCACTTCTCTTTCCTTCAATAGCACATTGTTACTCGACAAACTCACTGAACAATTCTTTGTTCCATCACTGACTTTTAAATCTTTGTACGCAGAACAAGAACCGGTGGAGTCTTGTTGATCATTTGTGCGCCTTCTCTTCCTCCCGTCTCCTGTAGAGTCATCATGTCTATATTTGAAACTCTCCTTCAGCCTCCTGGAGTACGATTTTACTTCTGCTGCTGATTTTTTTCCTCTCTTTTTCAAGCTATTCCCTTTGCAACCTTCTGCACTGGTTCCTCTATTTGTTAAATGCAAATCCTTCTCCTGCTGCTCTTGCTTTGACTGGCAGCTGTGATCTGGATCTGGTGATGGAGATGTACTTTTATGACCTGTGCAAATGATGCTGCTAAAGGGAAACTGCAGTGAACCAGCGTTGTCCGAGAGCCAGGGTCTCCTACGTAAGGATGGCTGCTGCTGGACATCGTGTTCAGGGTTTGCTGAGTTGTTGAGTAGAGGCTGACCTTTAGCTGCAGATGAACTTGGCTCTAATGGGGAGAGACGCTGAGGAAGCCGCAAGTCATCCATGCAAGGTGAGGAAAAAGTGGGTTTAGACTGTGTCCCATCTCCATTTGGCAGAGGCAAAAACTCGAGACTCTGTTGATCATCTTGTGAGGATGGTGGCTGAAATGCTGGGTAATGGAGTTTCTGGCCTCTGGTGGAGAAAGCTGAAGACAGGGCTGAGCCTGTGGTTGTTTCTGGATACAGAGAATTTTGACTTTTGAATGGCGGCAAACCCCGGCAGCTCAATCCATCGATTTGCCATAAAGATCTGACAGCTGGGTTGCACTGGGGAGTCGGCTGCTGCTGCTGGATCAACTTGGGCTGGTTTGGAGCTGCAAAGCAACAATGGATACCTAACGAGCAAGCAGAAGGATGACTATCAATTCATCTTAAATACGTGAATTG